TTGAGAGAGCGAACGCGAGCCGCCATGGACTCGAACAGCTTCCAAACATCCAACAGTGGTGTCCTCCAAGAAAAGATGGTAATGTCCAATGGCGTGCGTTTGGTTCTTTTGGCCCATTCGACCATCCTAGAGAGGATTTTATAATCGAGTTTGGGGATTATTTCGCTCTCGTCTTTAACGTAAAGCGCAAGGGTGATACGTTGCCAAAATGTCGGTATCGCCAAGCTCACTTTTCTCCACGATTGACATACGTGCGAAATCTTTTCTTGAACGGTGAGTCCTTGAGGGACTAGACGGTTCTCATTGTACTCGTTCCAGTGCCAGTCGAGCAGCAATGGTTGACCGTGGATATTTTTCATTTCTTCCTCCTCCATGGCGACCGCAATCCTAAAGACTTCTGTAAGAAGTTCAATGGGAAGAGAACGAACAGGGGCCATATAAGACCGTAGTTTGACTATAGTAAGCTTTGCGGCCTCTCGTTTGGACTCGACATGAGCGCGCCGTATCAGCAAGCGAAAACGTTCTAGTTCGGCAGAAGGATTCCGCTTGTCGTTGAGTTGAGCATCAATCTCTGCCTCCTGGGCATTTGTCTGTTGGATCTTGTGCTCGAGCTCTGCCAGCGCTCTCAACAGCATCGCTTTATGAGACTCGGAGAGCATTTTTGAGGGGAATTGAAATGTCTGATAGGATTACTGTCAGTCTGAGAAGCGCCTCTGGATGACATGGAGACTGGCCTTGGTGACCTCCGGAAGATCGGAGTGAGAATCGGAGTTAGAAATACCCCTTTGCTGTATATCCCGTTGACATTATGTAATAGGTATCGGCTTTACATTATATTAGTGTATTAGCTTTATTCGACACGTGACGTGGTTTTTGAGAAGATGCCGAGACATACCGGGTGTACTCTGCTCAACATCGTACCACCGACCGCGAGCCAGTACCTCATACTCGTTTAAAACTCTCTATTCGTGTCATATTTCATGAAATCGGATATCTTTGGGACTCTCTTTACGAGTTTTACGAGTTTGATCTGCAGTGGAAGTTCCAGTATTATGTAAGCAAACAAGCACCTGTTTTCGCCGGCCGCCGCGCCGAAGCACAGCCGGAACAAAGCAAAGGGCGGAGCAACAAGACCTGGAATTATGGGAAAAGCAGCGACCTTTGGTTCAACAGCACTTTGCCCCCAACCACAACCCACTTTTCCAAGTTTCATAAATCTAGCTAAATTCCTTAGAAAGCATGGCTCGCACCAAGGTCAGTCCCGTTTAAAAAATACTCTACACTCTCTCTACTATCTACTGCTCGTGCAATAAGCACTGTATCCATGTTCAACATTGTCACCATCATCTCCCGCCATCAGCGCCTTGCCCTTTTTTGTCATCACCGCCAAATACTGACTCATTTTTGACATGTTTCCTACTCTCCAATAAACATACAAATATTCATCTACGACACGTTGAACACCTCTACTCGCCAATGCTGACGTCGTCACTGTCGTCGTCGTTGTCGCCATTCTCACTATTGCCCTTTTTAATGGCGCGGCGCGCCTCCCACCACCTGCCTCC